TCCTCATTATGTACCCTTGAAATTTTAAATGTCTCTTCCTGATGTTAAGTATAAGTGTCCTTTTTGTTTCCATTCTCTCTAAAACTTTGTCGTTGCTCACATGCTCAATCCATGGTATTCCCAGCATTCATTTCTGTAACTCATCTGCAATGAGATTGTCTTGCATTTACTACCATATAGGAGGACTGATATTACATAACAGTTCAGTACTCTTTTTGCTTCTAACCATATATCTAGTGGTTCAAGTTACTTCTTCATCTGTAAGGAGATTGTCTATATAGGAGGACTGACATTACATAAACAGTTCTGTATTCATTTTTTTTTGTTTCCGACGATATTTTTATGTTTCTTAATACTTTGTTCAGTTTTTAGAAGGCATCTTTCTTTATTTCAATGTTCTTTCGGATTTCTATGTTACACTTTCTGTCCTCAGTTAAAACCCTTCCCAGATATTTAAATCGTTGTACTTGTTTGATTTTGGTATCTCCATTTTGTAATTTGCATGTTGAGCTGTTCTTTTTGCTAACAAGCAAGAATTCTGTCATCTTGCAATTAATGTTTAGTCCTTTGATCTAATTTTCCTTCACTACCTTCTATAGGAGTTCTTGTAGTTTCCTTTCTGTGTCTGCTATTAACACTGTGTCATCTGTATATCTTCTGTTGTTTTTACTGTTTGCTAATTGAAATCTGTTTTCAAGGAGAAAGTATAGTTTGAAAAACATGTTCTTATTTCTTTCATGGCTTATGTCCATATCACGTTGAGTTCTTAAATGATCACCAATTAAGCAACGTTAATCTGGTCAGTACCTAGATGGATTGCCACTTGGGAATACCAGGTGTTATAAGCTTGAATGTGTGTGTAACGGTTTAGAATTGGAAATCGAAAGGATGAGTTCCAATTCCAATCAGGTTTCTTATATTCACTCATATGAAAATACTCTTGGGAAAGGTGTGAATCCAACTCTTCTCCCCCCAGCTATGGGTTAATTGGTAATACTTGTATCAGTAAGTCATTATTAACTCAAAGAAATTCTTACAATCTAAAAGATATTTGCCAGCTTTAAATAAGCTGCAAAGGGTTGATAAGCAGTAAAAAAAACAAGCAAACAATCAATCAGTCACTTGTTTTTGAAAATTTGTAGTTTTTTTTTTTTTTTTAAATAAGAATTTTTACCTGTTCTTTCTTCTTCCGGATAGAACTCTCTGCTGAGAATTTCTAATCTGCATTTCATTAGCAATTCAATAAGTTCTGTGGGAGTGAGCAAGCCACCATCTTCAGTCATTTCACTACCTATTTAAAAAAAAAAAGAGAGAGAAACAATATATATATATATTTTTTCTAGATAGATAAACATAGATATAAGTTTAGATATATAAGCTTTTTTGTTATACATGCTACTGAAATGCAGTAAATCCAAATACTTTTCATCATATATATATATATATATATATATATATATATATATATATATATATATATATATATATATTCTTTTTTTAATCAGTTCACACCAAGCAAGGTGATAATGCCACTAAGATGCAAAGGGCTACTGGGAATGAAAGAGAATGAAAAAATTTAGAAGGAACCAGAAACCCAATCCTAAACAGGAAACAAGGGTTAAACCTTTAGTCCTATTCAAAAGACTGGGGTGGGGGGAGTGTGAACTGGACAATAGATGAACCTATCTACTCCTATTAAGGATATTTTTTATGTTGATATGGCTCCAAAAACATTCTTCTTTTATTTTATAATTAATTGAAGAAACATACCTGACATAATAATGACTGATGGCAGACTTCCAGAAAGTTTCACAATTTGGGCAGCATGTTCATCCAATCCGAATACTGAATCTCTTACCACCTCCTTCAGGAGACGCATTCCTTCGTCCTCGTTCATTGGCTTCATTTCATCCTTGAAGAAAACACGCTTTTTGGATGCAATCAGAAACTCACATGTTGACACAATAAACATCTTCACATTTGTAACTCCTGAGGAAAACACCAATTTTTGGCACAGAGTCAAAAATTTGTCTTTCAGTGGACCCAGGATAATGTCTTCAGCATTGTCCATTACAATAGCAAATATTGTCTTTGAATTTTCTTTTATGGCTGAAATGACGGACTCCATCCAACTTGTATCATCTTCATATTTTTCTAGAGAATGCTGAAATTCACAAAAAAAAAATTTACGTTGAGATAAGAAAAAATAAATTTAAAAAAAAAAATCATTGGCCAACAGGAAAAAAAAGCATCTAACAATAATTTCCTTAATATCTTTACTTAATATCTTTCCCTAATATCTTTACCTAATATCTTTCCTTATTATCTTTACTTAATATCTACTTAATATCTTTACAAATTGTACACAAGAATTAAAATAAAGTGTTACAGTGATATGGTTTCATCTAATTGAAATACGAACATCAGTTAAAAATTTGGTAAATTTTAAAATAGGAGTAGGCAAAAACAATAATGGTTTTTATACTGATAACATACAGCCATATCACATTAAAATACGGTTTCTTGTAGGATCACCAAAATTAACCCATGTCAAGCCTGGTCAATACCTAGACAGGTGACCCCTTGGGAATACCAGGTGCTGTAAGCTTGGATATATGGGAGGTGTAACAGAAAACAACTTGGAATTGGAAATCAAAGAGTTCCAATTCCAGTCACATTCTTTATAATCATTACCTTCAAATACCTTTGGGACAACTATGAATCTCACTCCAACTATGGGTTAATTAGTAAGACTGGTACCAGTAAATCATTATTATCTTCAAAAAAATGCTTACATAATAAGAATATTTTTTGGCTTTAAATACCTGCAAAGATTGATAAGCAGTAAAAAGCATATCAATCAATCAATTTTGACATTGCTGTTAATGTAAACTCAATTGGTAATTAATTAATGCCTTAAAAAGTTATTTTTAGAATTTTAATAAAAATGTTAAACACTATTCTATTACTATAAACATTATTTTTAGTGGGTAATGTAATTGAGTTGGTAAACCTTTATTTTATTTTCTTAAACATTGAAATTAATAACAGCCAGACCAGATTGAGAAGTCCCACTAAAGAAAAAAAAATGACATCCCAACAGGAATAAAACCTGTATCCCTTTCCCCATCATGGAAACTGCTGCCACAGCTGAAATGTACTGCTACCAGTTTGGCCATGGGAAACCATCTTGATAGAGCAAGGTTTGAATTCAGTTGCCCATTTTACAATGAAAATATAATAGTAAATGAAATGCACCTCAATTAAATTAAAACAAAAAGTAATCCAAGTTAGTTAAGGTTCTACGAGAAAGAAATGCATAAATTCAGTTTCATATGTGGTTTTATTAAAATTCTAAAAATGGAATGGCTTGTTAATTTTAACACCTCTAAAACGAAACTGCTCCCTTTTTAACTTTATCAGTATGGCTGATGCTAACCTCCAGGAGAGTAATTCATTGTGATTTTTCAGACTAATGTTTTCCACTGATATGAAGTGGAAGGATTATATTGAATCAAATGCTACGTCTGCTGCTAGGAAAGTTGATTCCCTTTGACGTACTAGACAATTTTTCTAACATATTTATAAGTCTACCATTCATCCTTGCTTTGAATATTGCTGCCACACCTGACCTGCTGCTATATATTTAGAGATTCTTGATAAAATCCAAAAAAGAATTTGCAATGTTATTCATCCTAACCTCGCATCTCAGCTTCAGTCACTTTCCCACCGCTATAGTGTAGCTTCCCTGTGCCTTTTCTGTCTATAAATACTTTCATGGTAATTGTTCTGATGAACTTTCCTCTATTCATTTGGTTTTCATTATTAAAAGTTGTTATTTTTATTCCCCCTGCAACACAAATTGTACATATGGGAACTAGTTAGGACTTCATAGAGACTTTGAGGTATAATGGTGACTGCAATAAGAATGTGTTGTATTGGTGTAAGGAATACTGTGGTATGTTTGGGTCAGTAATTGTGGCTACCTAAGTTTAAGATAAGACAGATTAAAAGACCAGCCCTCCCCTATCCCACCTTTTGGCCTTGTGCCACATTTTTTATTTCCAAAATAAATATTATTTTCTCTATGGTACCTAGATTTTATGAATTTAAGTGCAGTTCTAGATTGGTGACAAGATCTCATTTTACAGTTAAAATGGCTGCTAGATGTAACTGTAAGTTCTATACTAACGGTTTCATCTGTCCTACTTCTCACTTTTGGAACTCCCTTCCAGCTAACTTTGAACTTAAATGATTTAAATGCAATTTAAATGTAATCTTCTGTGTTAATTCTTGTTCTTTTATTGTCCTCTCTTCTTGATAATGTTTTCTTTTTCTTATTGTTATGGTCCAGGTTAGGACCAAGGAAGAACAACACAAACACAAGAGTAGAAATAACAAAGGTATATTACATGAAATAATAATACAAGATGTGGAAGGTGTTAGTATGACTGTCAGTCTGGTTTAGAGTGAACTACTATCGGCTCGACTTGATTCGTCCCTCTCTCTTGAGAGGCGTAGTATACATAGTGTTAGGAAGAGTTCATTCTGTAGTTATAGGTAAGGACCCATGACACTTATATTCTGTCACACTCAGTAATAACCCCTTGCAATTTAGTGGCTTTATTGCCTTGCATGGGGTGAAATGGTAACAGATTTCTAAGATAATAAAAACTACTGAGGGAATATACAATATTTAGTGGTATCAAGAGAAAAATGTCCTTTTCACATACTGTTTTCTTGCCTGGTTCTTATCTTGTCATAGATTGTACTGGTTTCTACATGTAACTGTAGCCATAACAACATGCAAGTATTGATATAAATATATGAGAAAGTGAAAATTCTCACCTTTTCTTTTTGGATTTTCTGTGACACAAAAAGATTGTGTACTTTCAAAAGGTTTAACAGAAAGAATCAGAAAAATGAAATAAAGTAATTTTTTTTACTAAATATTCACAAAGTCCAGGTATAGAATTACTCAATAAAGTTGTAGGGACACAGAAGGAAAGCACTTTTAGTATTATTCCCTGAAATGCAAAAAACAAGTTCTCGTATGATCACTGAAGTTAAGCAATGCCAAGCCTGGTCAGTGCCTTAAACAGGTAACTGCTTGGGAATACCAGATTCTGTAAGCTTGTATGTGGGGGGTTGTGTAATGAATAACAGCTTGGAATTGGAAATCAGAGAGCCGATTCCAAATTCAAGTCACATTTGTTATATTCACTTATGCGCAAATACCCTTGAGTAAGGTATGAATTCACTACTTCTCACTCCAGCTATGGATTAATTATTAGAAACTTGTACCAGTAAACCATTATTACCAACGAAAAAATTCTTACAATCTAAAAATATTTTCTGGCTTTAAATAATCTGCAAAAGGTTGATAAGCAATAAAAAACAAATCAATTTAATATAAAAAACTATATTTTAACAACATAATAAATTTCATTTTAATTTACTTTACTAAAATACTATTTCTTTTTAAAATTATTTTTAAAATTAAATGAATTAAAATATTACTTATATTTTTACTAAATATGATCCAATACAAAGCCAAGGACCCACTCAAGGTAGAGGGTTACTAAATGAAGTTGTTTTATGAACATAAGTTCCTTGACAAAATCCAGAGACAGATATGCAATGTGATTGGCTCTGATGTGGCATCTTGTCTACAGTTGCTCTCTCATAGATGTGTCCTCACCTCCCTTTTCTACAAATACTTTCATGGTAACTGCTCCAGCAAGCTACTTTCGCTAGTTCCCAGAATTTAAACGTGCTACTAGGCTGGCATATCGGTCCCACCCTTTCACTGTTAAATGTAGCTGTCTCTTCTACTCCAATAGCTTTATGTCTTGCACCTCCCATCTGTGGAACTCCCTTTCTCTTACTTGCTTCCCTGGTAGCTATAATCTCCAACTATTCAAATGTAATGTCAATCGACATCTCCACATGCCTTGATCTATTCCCAATCCTTCTCTTCATCCTTTCCTCTATCACGCCTCTTTACTCTCACTCCCACTCTCTGTAACCCCTTGTGTGCTAGTGGCATCCTGCCTTGCTTGGGGTGAAATGTTTAAAAAAAAAAAAATAGGTGGGGGAAGTAATAATGTAAAAATATGTAAATAGATAATGGTTATCTTGAAGAGGTTAAGATTGTAGTGTTTGGGGAAGCATCCTCTTGGGAGTCTGTTTAGTAAAGTAGCAGCACTTGGGAAGAAGCTGTTCAAATGGAACTTCTTTCCAATGTAATACCAAAGGAATAAGGATGGTTTGCCCCCTGTGTACATTGTATAGTGAGTTTTAGCTGTAAAGGTCTGAACTAGTGGAACTAGGGAATGTAGCTTTTGAGAACATTTTCAGTGAAAATAATGATAGACTACTGATAGGCTTGTGGTACTGTGTCCATGGGAGAGGAATTGTAAGGTTGAAAATAATTCATCACCTAGAAGGCCATGTAAATGCTTTTGAATGCTGGAAAGTCTGGAAAGTAAAGATTGGGAAGTTCCGGTCCAGATATGGCAACAATACTCCATAGTGTCTTAGCATACTCAGGTGTGAACACTGAATCCCATGAATGTAAAAACTTAGGGATCAGAAAAAAAAAAAAACTGACCAAAAGAGTTTTTGAATTTAATTAATAATGTGTGTTTTATCTAAAATTGTTCAAAGGAAATAATTTTCATTTAGTCATTTGAAAAATATCTATTGCAAAAAAAAAAAAAAGATTGATAATTTTTTTTAATGTTTTCTTTATTTAGGAAACTAGAACAGATACATTCTTAATATTCACTTTATTAGATGAGAATTTTTGTTTTTTTATGTGCAAAGTAGGTGGTGCCCTGTAAAACAGCCCAGAAACATTTGGTTGGGCCTGAAAGGGATAGGCTCCTTTGTCTGGGACTTTTCACAGAAGTTGTCTACAGATACTGAAAGGTAAGATAAGATCTTTTTTTTTATTCAGGTGTTTTAGAGACAATAGGAATCATTGTTAAGTGACCGTTTTAGAAATTCAGTATCTATTCTACCAGATTTTGACAGAGGCGGAGCAGTCAGGGAATGAGAGCCATTGTTTCCTACTTGAGTTAAGAGGTGTCAAGAGTATTTGCTGTAATAATGGGTTAATTGCTAGTTCCTGCTGAGAAAGGTCAACATTATGTTTTCATGTGGATCAGCTAGCCATAAGGAATTGATAAGTAATTGGTTACATATCTCCCTTGAATACTTTGAATTGTATCAGTGGTTAATAAAATGACTGATAAGTTGAAAAAAGGTGTTTTTTCATTTTTTTAATTAAGGTAAATATAGATTAAAATAGCATCTTAGCAAACTCAGATGTGAACACTGAATCCAACAAAATGTGGAAAATTTAGTGATGAGCAAAAAACATACTAACCAAAAGAGTTTCGGATTTAATCAATTAATTAAATTAATTAATAATGTGTGTTTTATCTAAAGTTTTTAAATGCTTAAAGGAAATAATTTTCATTTAGCCCTTGGAAAAATATCCACTGCAGGAAAAAAAGCAGATAGATATTTTTGTTTTTTTTTAATATTTACTTAATTAAGGAAACTAGATCAGATAAATTTTTAATGTTTGCTTTATTAGATGTGGTTGTAGGGAGACATTAATTGTCTTCCCTTGGATTGATGGTAGGTTTCTGTTGGTCAGGTGTGAATTCAGCCTCTTACAAAACTTTCTTTTTAGGAGTTTTGCTTTTCTTTGTTGAACAAAGAATTTCTTCTCAATTTCCTGAAGCCCACACACATGGGGAATGGACATTATGTTCACTGCCTTTTGTTGAGCAGAAAAGGCCTTTGTCTCCAACTTCGGTGAGGCACTTTATTTCTCCTTGTTAAGAAAACCAGAGAGAGTATGACATTTGGGTTTATCTTTTTGGCACCTCAGTTCAGACATGCTTGTTCTTGGAGCAATTCATTCATCTGTTTTGGGACAAGTGCGGATTGTTGAAATATTTTTGTATCATACGTACTTATTAAATTTTTTTTAATCGTGTACGGATGTTTATCTCATCTTTCATTTCCATTTATTCAGTGTTAGTGTATCAATAGTTACATTAATGCTAATATTAGTACCTGGTAAATGAAAAATGATTAAATATCTTTCCTAGCACCAGATTGCTGGTAAATTATGACTGGCATAAAATTTATACTAATATGGTTAAATCAGATAAGCTTTTTAGGTTCAGGGTGGGTGTACTGTGGAATGCAACCCAGAAATATTTGACTGGAGCAGAAATTGAAACACTCCTTTGTCCAGAAATTTTGCCAAGGTAGCCTAAGGGCATTAGAGGGTTGATGATGATAGGATCTTTTCTTATTTAGGTAAGTGTTTGGCAGCTGATGAGAATCCTTGTCCAGACCTCTTAGAAATCTATTATATAGTCTGCTGGATTTTGGGAGAGGCAAAGCAGTTGGAGAATGAAAGTCAGGTGGTTCTCACCTGTGTTAAGAGTCACCATTTGCTGCTCTTCACAACTATTTCTATTACACAGGTGATCCTGAAATAGGGAAAATTGCTGAAAATCTTCAGGGATAGAGTATTGGTTTGGTTGGTTTTGTTTCAACCTCTATGGTTCATTTAATGCTGAAATCTTAATATTCTACATGCAATTTTACAGCTTCAGCTAGATACATTTTGAATGCAATTTTATTCTTTCAACTACAGCTATTTTGTACATAATTTTATACTTCTACGTATGTTTTTTTAGAGATATAGTTTGTAGATTGTAAAATTTATTGTTGGTAATTTTTTTTAATGTATTGTGTATTCTGTATAAAAATGTATTGTTGGTAATTTTTTTTATAAAAATGTGTAGCTGGTATTTTTACTATAAAATGTAGTTTTATACTTATATTTTATACTACTTATAAAGGTTTTATTGTGTAATTCACAGCTGCCCTGGATCTAGCCATTATTTTAAGTAATTTTAAATTCTCATAAAAAATTCATTTTTTATTGCCAGCAACTATCCTACTCAAAATATTTTTTTGCTTGCAACAAGCAAGAAGAGAAATATAAGTTTTTTCTAAATGTCTTTCCATAAAATTGTTTTTCTAAATACTTACATTTGTTTGGTTCTGCTTTTCTTTTAAAACTTGTAAATGTGTTACACAAGCAATAAAGAGTTAAGGAGCATTCAAAGAGACTTCTAAGATTTTCCTAATATTTTGCAAGAGATAGTATGATGAACATTTGCATCAATCTTATCCACATATATAAAATGCAATATTTATTTTTTCATGTAACACTTTTCAATATATGCACAAATACAATGCAGATCCTAATTAGAGAGCAGCTAGCATCAATCTGATCCTAGGTAGAGAGCAGCTAGCATCAATCTGATCCTAGGTAGAGAGCAGCTAGCATCAATCTGATCCTAGGTAGAGAGCAGCTAGCATCAATCTGATCCTAGGTAGAGAGCAGCTAGCATCAATCTGATCCTAGGTAGAGAGCAGCTAGCATCAATCTGATCCTAGGTAGAGAGCAGCTAGCATCAATCTGATCCTAGGTAGAAAGCAGCTAGCATCAATCTGATCCTAGGAAGTGATCAGTAAGTAACACTGTTCTCAGGCAGAAGTGCTATCTTACATGCACTTAATGCTCTTATAAAAAAAAATCAAAATGAAAACAAGTTAAAAAAAGAATATTTTACCTACCTCCTTATAGGTGAATTATTTCATCAAGTAATAGCAAAATACTTACCCCAACAATTTCTGCCAGAAGTCTAATTCGGATGATATCCAAATTTTCAACTTTACGGAGGTCAATATGAACCGACTTTAAGAAACATTTCTCTTCACATTGCTTCTTTTTCCATCTTAGGAATTCCCAAACAGTTCGTGACTTTCCTACACATTGCATTCCAAAAATGCCAAATATTTTGTGATTTTTCCAATTCTTCTCCCATTTTTCTAAATATTCAGTCCTTCCAATAAAGGGATAATCATCAATGTAGGGGTTTAATTCCTCCTCTTCCATCTGAAACAGATAATTTATAAAAAATTAGATCTTTGCTTTTGCATGTCATATACATTTAGGAATCAGATAAAGAAACGGAGAACACAGAGGAGATGATAATGCTCTCATGTGTTTAACATCTGCTTCAGTGAAATGGAAAAGATTATCAATTTCAAACCTTTACTTCTTTAAATAATCCTCTGCATACAGACTTTTGATTGTTATTATTTAAAGTTGTTAAATGAAATTGGAGAAATTCCATGGATATGTTAAGGAGCTTATCATTAACTTGAGAATTATGATTCATCAGAAATACCTCTTTCCTTAATAGTATATTTTTCTTATATTCTCTAACACTCAGTAAACCCTTGCATCTTAGTGGCTTTATTGCCTTGCTTAGGGTGAAACAATTAAAAATAATGCCTTGAAAAAGTTTATCAAAGAATGAAACATATGAACTAAGTTTTCCTTTTGTCTTTATTCAGATATATTTTTAGTTATATCTGAATTTTTGCACATACATAGTGAAACAACTCATTTACATATGAAGTCACAAAGACTATAAGCAGCTATAGTTATTGCCCATGAGGCAGTTGAGTGCATACTACTTCCCATGAGTCAGAATCACAACAATGCAATGGTGTTGCTGATGTCTAAAGAACCAATCGAACAATTATCCCAACTAATAATTATGAATACGCACAAGCATGGCTTAGGATACTAACAGCTAAAGCTAGAACAAAAAAGCTAGAGGATTTGAAATCAACTGGAGGAGAAAACTAAATAATTGATCTCTTCTTGGCAATTGCTGGTTGCGAGGCCATTATAAAATTATCAGCAATTGCACACCCAAGACAGTTGGGTGAAATGGCATTTGACAATATAAGCCAATAGTGAAAAACATAACACCCAAGAAAAAAAAATTAGTAAATGCAGAGAGAACTAAGTTTATGAATATTTCTCAGAAAATGAATAAACCAGTTATTGAATATGTTCTTTGTTTAAAAAATGCCACTAAATATTGTGAATTTGAGAAACAGGGATCAGAAAACCAGTCAATCAATGAAAAATTAAAATGGAAAACCAGTATGGTTTTGAATAAGTTAAAAAAAAAAAAAAAATGGATTAACAATTCACAAAAAAAAAATATGTGCACAACACTAAAAAAAAAAAAAACATCATTTTTGGGATATTCCATATCTAATGAAGGTATATCACCAGACCAATTATTAATTGACAAAATATTAAAAGTTGAAGTACCTAAGAACAAAAAAGAATTGGAATTTTTCTAAGGAGTTGTAAATTTCTACAGATGATTTGTAGAGCAATACTCTGAATTGACAGAACATTTTGCTGCCTTAAAAAAAAAAAAAAAAAAAAAAAAAAGAATGCGGAATTTATTTGGACAAAAGAACAAGTGACATTTGAAAATTTAAAAGCTGTTCTGGTAAAGAAACTAGTAGTAAAAATATTTGATCCTAGAAAGATAATTAGTAGTAACGATTGATGCAAGTGAACACTCAATTTTGGGAATATTAGCTCAGGATAATCATCCTATTATGTATCTTTCAAGAAAATTGTCAAAAGTTAAATTGAACGGCTCAAATTAAATATATATAATGTTTTCATTTCCAAAACACGGTCAAGATATTGTGTCCATGTTCATAGCTGATATTATTGAGTGTTGTTTTTTTGTTTTCACTAATAAAATTTCCATTATTTAATATTATATAAATACATACATACAACAATCTATTTCTTGTTAACAGTTAATATATTTCAACCTTGAAAATGGGTAAATGTATAGCCAAAAGCTCTCAGAAAAAAAGAACAATAGGACAGTTTTTATATGATTTATCCTCCGAAAAGAAAAAATTATAAGATCACATGAGTAATTGTATAAAAAACTAAATCAAAGCCCCATGTGTGTCGTATTCAATGAAACGTGCATAATATATAATATATATATATATATATATATATATATATATATGTATGTGATTAGAAAAAAAGAGTTCAAGTGTGCTTCATAGATTTTATAAAATAGAGTAGATAATTTGGTCAAACAAAAGGGTACTGATGTAATCAGTACAAGAAACATTTATTAATATTAACCAGGTGACAGAAATGAAGCACAGAGATTGAGGTTCCAAGTTTGGAATTCTTGAACATGCCTGTGTTCTTCATCAGCGGATGAGAGAAATAAACAGAGGAACAGTGGAAACTAGCCAACATTAGTTCTTGATAATGTTATACATACATACATATACGTATATTATATAAATATATATATATATATATATATATATATATATATATTAATGGATATAATTTATTTAAGTAAATGCTCTCAAATATTTCTCAAACATTCAGGCCAGTAAATGTAATACTGTTTACTTAAAAAACTAGAGCATTTACTTAAATAAATTATATCTATATAAAAATAACGTATAAACGGAAAATACATTAAAATAATTGTTGGACTTAACCCATTTTATAATATGTGGTTATTGTTTATGTTAAGATATATTTCATGAACAGATATAATGAATCAAGAAAAATCGTCAAAGGTGTACGTTTATAAACAAAAATTTGGTCCTTGCTAACCAGAGGCTTCTATCCTTAACATCAAATCAGATGAAATGTGATTCTCATTAAGGGTTACAGGTTTGATTCCTGTCAGAGAAGCGCATGTTTTCTGCAGTGTTTTCTCGAATATTCAGGCTGGTAAATGTAATTAATATTGTTTAATTAAAAGAAAAGGGCATTTGCTGTAGATGTATAAACACAAATATTAATATATCACACACACGAACATATAAACGTCGACATTTCATTCATTTTAAACAACATAATTGCATTTAATGATTTTTGTTTGTTTTTTTTTCCAAATTTTCTTCATTCTGTCGGATCTATATCCATTTACATTTGGTTACATATATATATATATATATATATATATATATATATATATATATATATATATATATATATATATAAAATAATAAAGTGAATATTGAAGTCAACATTCAGAATGATAGGCTGTTTCATGCTGGACGATTGCATCCAGCATGAAACAGCCTGTCGCTTCTGAGTGTTGACTTCAATATTTATATTTACATATGCTCTATCTCTGATACTGAGCACTCTATCCCATAAATATAGCACACCTTAAAACTATATTTCTTCATATATATATATATATTTTTTTAACTGAATGTACGGGTTGTGTTATGTATGTATCTAGAGATCTGTTCTTAACTTTAACTACGAACTGAGTTGAAAGAATAAACTCCCATTCTTAGATGTTCTCGTAGAATACAGTAACAATACTTTCACCACTTCATTATATAAAAATCCCATGAGTTTAAAACTCCTGCCACCTTAATTCTAAGAGGTAATGCCCACTTAGATATAAAATAGTAGTTATAAAATATTTCCTAAAGAGAGCACACAAGAATTCATCCTCTCGTCTACTTTTCTTTAAAGAACTCAACAATGTAAAACAGACACTAGTTTAGTTAACAATGTTTTTTTTTAACTACCTCATCAATCATCAGATTAGACTATTTCTTTCCAAAGGAACTAATAATGATACTGAACATAGAGAAAAACAATAATATTAACATCTTCTACAAAAGCCAAATACATGTCAACTATAAGCAAGATGAATATTCACTTAGAAATATCATAAAGAAATACACTGCCCCAGTTGGCCCTAACAAGAAAACTAAATTAATTATCTATTTATTACAAAAAATTTAAAACAGCTAAACTTATCATCAAAAATAACAACACACCTGCAAAATCAAAACTACGAAGGACCAACACTATTTATGAGTTCAAATGCCCCTTAAGGAATTGTGTTCCTGATGAAACCAAAATCATAATTACATTAGTCACACTACTACATGACTATCCAGATGACTTACATTACACTTATCCAACCATAGCTTCATTAGGACTCATTTAAACACATTCAAAAACCTACCAGACACCATCCAAAACATACAAGTAGAAAATACAAGCATAATAACCTCATCCACATGTAAAAAAAATAGATTAAAAATAATGAAAGCCCTTATAATAAAAAAGAAAAAGCCAACACACAATAGCATTAACTATGAACATGGCCACAATGTGCTGACCATGTTTGGAAAATAAAACATCCTTATAACTCTAGATATATATTATATATAAGTAAGTAAATATTCCAGAAAAGTACATTTTATTGAGAAAATAATAAAAGTCAGACTCATTAAACTGGGATGAGTTAAAAAGTAGTGCCTTTAACACATCATTGAATATGGTTTTCCTTCCTATGAGTAAAAAAAACCCCTGCATGTCAGGGTAAGCCCTATTCATAATTAATCATGTAGTCTTGACAACCATTACAACACAAATATATATATATATATATATATATATATATATATATATATATATATATATATATATATACACTGAATATTCCTGGTTGAAATATGGGAATGTCTGGTATGTCTGTGCATCCTGTATCCCATAGTAATTTAATTTCACTTTTACACTGATCAACTTGTAAAGATTTCATTATTTAGTTTTATTTTTAACTGGCTGTTTACATAACCTGTGATATCATAGCTAAGATTTATTAAAAAAAAAAGTTTTCATTTGTTCTAATGAATATAATGTATACTCTAGAAGACTTGAGAATTCTTCAGGAAAGACATTTATTTCAAAACATGGGTGCCTTCAAGAAGTGGCTGGAGAGCTACAACAAAAGCAATAATGTCTGAGGGACCTACTTTGATGGAAATTCATTTGTATTGTTTTGATATAAATAAATATATTTTCTGAAGAATTCTCATATATTTTGAAGTATACCTTGTATTCATTAGAATTAATTAAAATTTTGTTGTATTAAATTTTGTATTGTTTTGTAATAAACTGTCGTCACTCCTGAAGAATTCTCATATCTTTTGAAGTGTACTATATACATATACAAAACAACAATTTTAGACAGTAGGTAGCAAAAAATGAAA